CGGCGATGGCGCCGGCCGTGGCGACGGCAGCGACCACGGACGGCGCTTCGAGCGTTGAGCAGGGCAGCTCCTCGTCGCCGGCGTTCGCCCCTGGCGACGCTAAGGTGGCCTCCGACCCGGGCTCCTCCCCGGCGTCGAGGTCGTCCCCCTCCTCCTCCTTGCTCGGCGCCCGAAGCAGCTCGTCGAACAGCGCGCGCTCACCGGTGAGGGAGGGCGGTGACACGGCCGCACGGAAGGGCCACGCGCTAAGGCGGTGCCTGCGCAGGTTTGCCAGAAATCTGCAGCGCGCCGGTGCTGCGGACGAGCGGCCAGATGGGCGCGGGAGACGGAAGGGCCAGGCGATGAAGCCGGACGGGAGGGTCGCCGCCGGCGAGGACGGCACCGCCCGGGCGAGGGAGGAGGCCGTCGCGAGCGCGATCGCCTACTGCAAGGAGTCGAGCCGGCAGCGCTGCAGGCCGCCATTGCCTCCCTCGCCCAGCTTGGACGGCTGGCTCCTCGTTCGTCCGGAGGAGGAGATCGGCACCAGCGCCATGAGCGCCATCTCGCCCTGCGAATGCGAGGCGCAGGGCACCTCGAGCGCCGCCGCCCCCCACCACGGCCACGCGGCCTGCGACGGTACGTGTTGTCAACCGATCCGTCGGTCGATCTGCTCTGCTGCACCCGTGCACGTCTAAACCGTCGTTGATCTCCTTCGTGCAGCAGAATGCGGCGGCGGCAGGCCGTCAACGGTGGAAACTCGGCGAGGTCCAGCCGGGGAGATGGAAAAGGGTGACGCTGTCGACGGGCTTGACGGGGACGTCCTTAGGATAACGAGTTACTTCGCCGCCAAATATGTGCGCGCGGTGCGCCATTGAAGAATAGCTCGGGGTCCGTCTCACATGAGGCGAAGCAAACAGTTTTTCGTAATCTAGAGGACCTTGTCTTACGTACCTTCGATCTTGTATGATCTGTCCATATCAGTGTGCGAGTAGTAGTAATATGATTGTAGTAAGATCTGTCCATATCAATTGTCGATCTTATTCTTATATGATATGATGGCTTGCAGCGTTCCTAAGATCTAACGAGAATCTCCTGGAGTTAACGACACAATCGTTCGATTGTTTCTGAATCAAACTGCAATTTTGAAGCTTAATTGGCAAAGGAGTTAAGATATAGACAATCCTATTTATTCGAACTAGCTTTGCTGAATCGAAAGAAAAGAGACAACTTGGATTCAATCAAAAGAAATTAGAAGATTTTAGTACTGGCATGTATTCACCTCAATCAAAAGAAACTAGGTCACCACTATATGCTCTGTTTGTACTCTACACATGAGGAATATATTCACCTTTAACTTCTTTTTTTGCGGAAATAAGACTTTCATTCATCAACCACGGTCATTACACTCCAGATTTTACATAGAGCGTGAATTCCATCCGGTGCATGCCCATGCACGTTGAATTATCAAATGAGTATAAAGTTGGTCTTTTTTTTAACTACTACACTCCAGATTCTCGAGCATGGAGATAGGCGAGTTGTAGACCAAGAGCTGGTACAGATATAGGCGAGTTGTAGACAAGAGCTGGTGGGCAGCAAGAAACGCATGCACACCAAAGAACAAATCTGAGTCACATGCCTACTTCTATTGGTTTCTACAAAGAGCGGCTAGCTTAGATCTTAGACCAGTCGGTCACTGTCGAGGTCGCCAAGGTGATCTTACAGCACCGCCGTGGGGATTTCTCATATGATTTTATGTAGGCAAGCCGCAAGCGGTGGTGGTGATTGGCTGGGTGGTGTCGCTGCCTTGGGAAGAGACGAAGTGATGGTAAAAGTAAGCAGGATCCGATGATTCTTCCGTGGGGATAGCCAAAGTCAAGATGTCGACTACAGACTCGTCGCAGACTTGCAGTGAACCTGGATGCGGCGAGCCTGATTTGTGGATCGATGGCGGGTCTTGACTTTGTTAGGCTGGGATTGGATGGTTGCGGAGGGTGGTGTGCTTGGTTGGGTTCCCATGGAAGAATGTGGCCTCCTCGTGGATCTGGTCATGCCCATCCTAGAGAACATTGTGTCCCTAGCTCCCTCGACGAGCAAGGACAGTGCAAGCGGCAGCAGGGGGTAGGGGTAGATGTGGGGAGGGATGTCGGCGGCTGCTCGAGGTCATCATGATGAAACCCTTGACGTCCCATCTTTATCAATGGAAGTGGAAGAGCACGAAGTCGAGATTGGATAGGAGTTTGAGTTCTTTTTGGCACCGATCGGTTCCCCACTTTAGAGATGTATTTTTTTTGCGTGCGAGCAAACAGTGGGTTGATTCTAAAAGGGATAGGCACTTTTCAACAGAAGTGCATGACGGACCAAAAATATGACCTCATTTTATTCGTTTGATAGATATCGTATTATTCGTTGTTGTTCGTTCGGTGAAATTTCCTAATATTTGATTGTTGTGTTTCTAATTAGAGCACCCCATAATCACCCAATATGAGGGGATGACAAATGAAAGATACTGATTATAAATTTTGAAGAGCCCGTGGCAACGCACGGGCGTTATACTAGTTAGGAGTAGAGATTAGCTACTAACCTAAACAGGGCCGGTCTCATCCAGAGTCCCAACCGTCCATACACACACACAAACAGGGGCCTGGCAGCCATGGACAAGAGCGGCAGCAGCAATTCTGCAGTGGAAGCGGCAGTAGCTAGCTGCACTACACAGCGACAGCGGCTAGTAGTAGAGCAGCACAAGGAGCAGGAGTGAGCGGTGGCGAGGACAGGGCCGTACGCAAGAGCAGTAGCAGTACAAAGAGCAGCAGAGCAACGACAGGGCCGCGGGCGGCTGCGGCGCGGGAGGCTGAGCCAGCACGCGGCCAGCAAGGCGTGGGCACGCCGGGACAGGCCCTGGGCGCGATGGACGCGCGACAACAGCGGGCGAGCACGCGCGAGGAGCGGGGATCCGGCCATGGCGGACGACGAGCTTCGGCCGGAGGGTGTCTATGGCTAGAGGATGCCCGCAAGAAGGGGATCAAGGGGGAAGTGAAGGGGAGCTCACAGGGATCACGTAGAGGAGTTCAACTTGCTCGGGGAGGCGCTCGTGGTCGCGAATCGACGAAGATTGCGGCGGCTACCGTGGGCGCTCGAGGTTGAAGACGACAAGGATCCGGCGCAGCAGTGCCTCCCAGCTTGAGATGGCCGCCGTAGTCGACGCAGAGGAGGCCGACGGAGTGGATTGCACGGTGGCGCGACCAGAGGAGGACGATGGCCATGGCAGCGAGGAAGGCGCGGCGACCGTGGCGTTCGGCCCTTCCTCCAGATCGGCAGAGGGGGAGAGGTGGATCTGGGAGGGAGGGCGCCGAGGAGGAGTGAGGCGAGTGGGAAGAAAATATCTGGGGGGAGTGGAGCCTCGGTGGAGGCCTTATCCTTCCGCGGCATGGCCGGCGAGGTGGTTCGACGGTGACGCGCCCCTGTTCGGCCACGATCGTGAACAGAAGAAGACGACCGGGGGGTTAGGTGGGCCGACTTGGGTGAGGCCCAATGGGGGCACGTGCTCTCTCTTTTCTTTTTTTAGTTTTCTTTCTATTATTCTGTTTTCTTTTAACAGGCTCTATTTGCATTTAAATAAGCCACTAAATGACTTTGCAAAAATGTGGACCTGGACAAAACAA